TCCGACTGCACCCCCTGGATAGCAGTTAGCAGGCTATCAAATCTCTTTCTGCTTTCTTCTGCTAACTTAGGCTTGTTCTTCCATTTCAGCTACTACATTTCAGCATGTTTTTAAGCTAATTTCAGCAGTTTTTCAGGAAGTTCTTCGGCAATAAGCATTCACACTGCATTTTCTCTAGTTTCTACTGACTTTCAAATAGCTAAGAAGAATCTAATCTAAACCACAACTCTTTTTTTCAGCAGCTTGGTACAGTTACTGAAGTGACTGTCAGCCATGTTTAAAACCTACAAGAACCTTGGAACAACCTTATCAGGTCTGATGAAACCAGAACTAATGAAAAAAAACAATCAGGTAATGTAGCGAAGCCCTTTCTGTAGTGCTGAAAATCAGTTGAAATGTTTAAAGCTGATTCGGAGGCCATACAAAAAGAATCACCTGTCAGAAAGAAGGTTGTCTGAAGAATGAAGAGACGAAGGCTCATCTGAGAAAAGATGACAATAAAATTCATAGATCAGAAAAATGGAAATCTGCAAAACATACTATCCTCAGACCTTACATTTAAAAAGTGCAACTCTCTTCAGAAAGGTAAGCAGTAAAAAGCACAAGCTAACAAGATAAGATGTAATCTAATAAAAAGCTCTGCTCTAAATTTTGTATAAAATGTAACTTGTGGGTGATGAAAAGTGTCCCCGACCCTCCATCTAATGATGTGTATCAAGTTTCATTAAATCATCTTGAGCGGATCAGAAGTTATGGGTGGGACAAAAGAACATTTCAGACGTACAGAGACAACAGTGTCCCTCGATATACTTCGCAGCTCGACTTTCGCAGACTCACTCTTTTGCCTCTTTTGTGGGTTTTCAACGTAAGATTGTACACTACACAGGTTGGCTGATTGATGGAAGGCGACCAACCAGAGCATTGTGCTGAGGAGCGGACTGGCCATCGAGAGCACCGAGACATTTCCTGGTGGCCTGACCCGCTCATTGATCACAGAGGGGGGCCCTCCTTTCTCTATCTGAGGCTGTCTGTCACAGCAGAGCAGAGACACACAAGAAGTGGGTGCACAACCTGTTGTGAGTCTCTGCTCTGCTGTGACAGACAGCCTCAGAAAGAGAAAGGAAGGGGCGTGGTGGGGGTCTGTCTTTCCCCTTCGCTACTGCTCAGGGAGCTTCAGTGAGGCGGACACCTGAGTGAACGGCATGGATTATTTATTTAAAATAATCAAGCAAGACTCAAACCGAGCCTTAGGTCCAGCCCCTCGGTGATCACTGAGCGGGTCAGGCCACCGGGAAATGTCCCGGTGCTCCCAATGGCCAGTCCACCCCCAGGATTGGCTCAGTAACTGTAGCATCAGTCTGTCTGCTCTCTTTTGAGGTGCTCTTTTAGAGCGTTTAGAGAGTTTAGAACATTGTTAAGAACATTTAAAGAGTGTGGGAAGGGTTTTATAAAGCCTTAAAATATACTAACATAAATATAACGCCCCTACTTCGTGGATTTTCGTATATCGTGGGAGTGTTTGGAAAGTAACACCCACGATAAGTGAGGGACTACTGTATACCATAATAATACGTTTGCATTTCGACAGGCGTATAAAAAGGAAAAAAATAAACTATTCCAGTAAAAATAAAATAAAATAGTTTTAACAAAGCCACATCAATTATAAAAACCTTGATGTAGATTTTGCTGGTTGGTAAGAATTTTCTGAATCTCCATCAGCCAGGCGACTTTGACCTCCACCGAGGGCGCCTAGAGAGACAATTACTCAAAGTCGAAAAACACAAACTACAACTTACAGTAATTAGACATAAAACTGATGTTTAATTACCTGAACGATGTACACCACTTCACGGCCACTGTAACAGATTTCAAATTTCTTCACATCTCCTTTCACATTGTCTGTGATCCCCACTGAGCTCATCTGTGGAACGGTAGCAAAAGGTTAGGAGAACCAGCACTGCGCTAGAATCACTCATTTCATTCTGGTTTTCTTCAAATAAGTCATTTTTTATGTTTAAAAAAGTCAGAAACAGCTGTTATCCAAGAGTCAGCTTCCCTTCTAATGAACTGGAGTATCTGATAATGGGATCTAGGGAGGCACAATAGTATCGGCATGGTATCAGTATCAGCCGATATTAACGATAAAGTTAAATATCGGACATCGGCCATTCCATCAAAATAACTCACCGATATAAAAGGTGTTATTTTTTAATGACAACCCAGTGGACAAGGATGCCTGCACATAGCAGAATTCATAAAGATTTGAGTTGATCATTAAGGTTGTATAACCAAGTACTGGGCTTCTGTTTTAAGTTATTATTTTTTTATTTAAGAATCTGTCAAGTATCTATTAATATTAATGCACTACTACTTATTTGCTTTGCACTTGTCACTTGTGAACAGGCTGAGTTTAGATTTGTGAAAATTTACAAAATTGCACTGTTCAAGTGTTGTCATGGGCAGCACGGTGGCACAACTGGTAGAGCTGCTGCCTCTCAGCGAGCAGGTCATTGGTTCAAACCCCGGTCCAGGGGCCTTTCTGGGTGGAGTTTGCATGTTCTCTCCGTGCATGTGTGGGTTTTCTCCGGGTACTCCGGTTTCCTCCCACACACCAAAAACATGCATGTTAGGCTGATTGGTAACTTTAAATTGTCCCTAGGTGTGAGTGAGAGAGTGAATGATTGTTTGTCTCGTTTGTCTCTATGTGTCCCTGTGATGGACTTGCGACCCATCCAGGGTGTACCCCGCCCCTCGCACAGTGATTGCTGGACATGGGCACCGGCGACCTCCGTGACCCAAAATGGAAGAAGAAGGTAAAAGATAATGGATCCACGTTGAAGTGTTACATCATTTTCAGCCCCTTTTTTGCATCTGCATTTGGTAGCAGGCCAAACTGACAAAGACCATGAAGAATAATGTAGTATTTTAATTCCACAGCAGAGAAAGCTATGTAGTCTCTGCAAGTAGGTCTAAGGGGAAAATATCTGTATTGGTATCGGTTATCAGCCAAATAAGTTTTAACATATTGACATATCGGCCAAAAATCCAATATCGTGCATCCCTAATGTGAATGTTTGATGAATTGTTACTCTGAGGCAGGATTTGAAGCTGTAGAAGGGCGTTCGGTCGTGGTTGTCCTCGTCCCTTCTCTTGCAGAAGAGCAGCGCGTGCTCGTAGAGGAAGAGATGTCGCTGCATGGGTTTGAATCTGGCCAGCTCTTTCATTCGCACTGCTGCCCGTTTGTGACTGATCCACACGCTGAAGCTCCCCTGGAGGATTACACGACCCAGCTGGCTGAGATCACCCTGAGCCGAAGAGAGAAACACAAACAATTGTTTCCACCAGCAGGAAATTCATCCCTGAAAGGAAAGAACTGTTAAGGACCTGTTATAGAAAGGGTTGCAAAACATATAACGATGTGCAATAAATCAGTTGGTTTCTGTCTGATTTATTGACCTGAGTGTGTGGTACCTGATAACCAGTGATGGCTATCTGATGCATGGAGTCGTTGACAGACTTGAGCAGCTCCAGCATGGAGTCCAGAGCCTCCTGCAGTTCACAGCGGTACAGCTCATCCACACAGTGCTTCAGGAGCTCCTGAGCAGGGACAGACACATGGACGGCATGTCAGCGGTTCAAGCATTATCTAATCTAAGAAATATTGTCAGCCGGTTGGCCTGCAGCTCAGGAAATAAAATAAATTAAATTTCCCCGTCATCAGCTCATCTTTGATAATGTCTGCCTGCGTCTGCTGAACGTCGTAGCATTGTCTTTTTCCTGTCAGTGCTTCGTGTTGTCATGCTTAATCAATCACTGCAAACTGACATTAACATATTAGTGATATAATTAATGAAACGTAAATATTCATGCAAAAGCAGAGCCAGTGACAGAGGTCAAGAAATTAAAAAACACAGAAAAAAAAGAGTACTGGGTAGTCTAAAACAAACCAGTGGTTTAATTTGTTATCATTAACACACATCACTATAAAAAGGCTTGTGTTTGTTTGTCTGTTAGCAAAATATAAAAATTTTAAATGAAACTTTTAAAAAGTAAAAATTTGATACAAATGATTTGACTTTTGGAGTTTGCTTAATTCAAGATGGCTGCTGCAGCTTAACAGCATAAAGTAACACAAAAACGACTATAAGTAAGTTGAATTGATAGACACTGAGCTACAATTTGGTGTAACAGTAGCTGGGTCACTCTTGACAACACCTACGTGCTCCCAGATCTGTCTTTAAACCTTTTGCACGCACAACGATGGGCAATATGGTGGCTTATTTTTGTTTCCTTTTTGCCACAAAGATGATGCTGTAAGAATTGTGATCCCTTGTGTTTGTCTCCCTCTTGTGTTTATTCCTGCTCCTCATTCCTCGTAATCAGCTCGTACCGCCGCCAACTGATGTCCTTCCTGCGTGTTGTAATTTGTCTGTCATTAACATCCCTATTTAAGTTTGTGCCTCTGTGTTCCTTGTTGTCTGGGCATTATCCTGCCCAGCTCCATGTGCCTGTCTTTCCTTCGTGTCCCTCAGCATTTCATGTAAGTTTGCTGTCCTGTCGGCCTTTTGTTTTTGTTAATAAATTACTTCTTTTGTACCATATGTTCTGGACTTTAAGCCACACTTTTTTTCATAGTTTGGCCAGTCCTGCGACGTATAGTCCGACGCAATTTTAGACTGACGCATTAAATGTTCATTCATACTGACATGAACCAAAGAGTAAACATTACCATTGGCAGCTGTGAGAGGGCCCTCTAGACTTTTGACAACTATATGTTGTTCCTGTTCTGTTACACTCCCCCCCCCCCCCCCCCCATCTTCCTCCGGAGTTGGCGAAGTTGTTCAGAAGTGACACAGAGGATGAAGAATTCGATGGATTCAGTGATGTGGAATGTACGGTGGCCCTTAAGTGTAAAGGAACATTTGAAAAAAACACATCAAAAACAATAAAATCACAACAAAATTTGAAAAAACACATGAAAAACAATAAAATCACAACAATACAACAATATATGAAAAAAAAACAGAATCACATTTGAAAAAAACTGAATTACATTTGAAAAAAGGGACTCACATTTGAAAAATAAAGTTAATAAATAATAATTATTAATAATAATAATAATAAAGTTAATAATGTAAAAAAAACTTCCTGTTTGGCTTAATGTCATTCCATTTTTTTTCAAATGGCATTCCATTTTTTTCTAATGTGATTCAGGCCACTTCCGCTTTGGCTTAATGTAATTCTGTTTTTTTCTAATGTGATTCCGTTTTTTCAAATGTAATTCCATTTTTTTCTAATGTGATTCGGGCCACTTCCTCTTCGGCTACTTATGCTTTGGCTTAATGTAATGCCATGTTTTCTAATGTGATTCCGTTCTTTCAAATGTAATTCCATTTTTTTCTAATGTGATTCGGGCCACTTCCTCTTCGGCCACTTCCGCTTTGGCTTAATGTAATGCCATGTTTTCTAATGTGATTCCGTTTTTTCAAATGTAATTCTGTTTTTTCTAATGTGATTCTGTTTTTTCATATGTTGTTCATTTACACCTCAGGGCCACCGAAGGAATGCGATTGGTGAATGAATTTACTGGTAACTTGCTTGTCGGACTGGTTGGCTTGTTATGTTAATTAAGCCTGTTCAGGATCCCAGGTATGTTCTGTCTGTTATTGTTATTTCAGACTAAATGTCTGTTTTTGCGGGCAGCACGGTGGCGCAACTGGTAGAGCTGCTGCCTCTCAGTGAGAAGGTCCCTGGTTCAAACCCCGGTCCAGGGGCCCTTCTGGGTGGAGTTTGCATGTTCTCTCCGTGCATGCGTGGGTTTTCTCCGGGTGCTCCGGTTTCCTCCCACAGACCAAAAACATGCATGTTAGGCTGATTGGTAACTCTAAATTGTCCCTAGGTGTGAGTGAGAGAGTGAATGATTGTTTGTCTCATTTGTCTCTATGTGGCCCTGTGATGGACTTGCGACCCGTCCAGGGTGTACCCCGCCCCTCGCACAGTGATTGCTGGACATGGGCACCAGCGACCCCCGTGACCCAAAATGGAACAAACGGGTAAAGAAAATGGATGGATGGATGGATGTCTGTTTTTGCACTTTGTGAAATGCACGTCTAAATAAATGCAACTTATACTTCAAAGTGACCTATGTTTTTGTTCTCTTCATGTGGCAATTTTTTGACTGGTGCGACCTATAATCTGGAGCAATGTATAATCCAGAAAATGCGGTAACTCTCTGAGTCTCCGTGGTATGCCTGCATTTGGATTCGACACTAAACCACCAGATCGCAACAGATACAAAATGGGCATGTGCCTAATATCTAATAACTTTTACAAAAACATTTACTGCTATTATTTAGATTTTTGTGTTTTGCTTCTAATTCTCCAGGATTAGGCGGATACAGCAAATGAGGAGGCGACAGACTCAGTACTAATCCTCTGCAAAAACAAAGATTTTCATCAAATGATTATTTGTTATGAAAACCTCCTGTATAGTGGGTGCTTCTAATCGTTCATGTGAGCTGCGTGTCCCTGCGTGTACCAAACCTTTAGCAGCAGCTGGTACTTGGTGAGGCGTTGGATCGGCTTCAGGAGGTATGAATCAAGACCCAACTTGTGGTCCAACTTCTTCTGGCACTCCTGCAGAGTGCGTTAACAACACGAACAGACTAATATCCACACTGCAACAGCTTTGACTCTAAAATGCTCAAGGAAATAACTCGATAATGCTTATCAATTAATACACAAGTACCTGAAAGAAGGGTGACTCCGAGCACTGTCTCCATAGCAACTCGGAGCAAGGTTTGTTTTGGCAGTAGCGCTCATACACCTGGAACTTCTCCTTCTGTTTAAACACACCGTGCACTTACTATATGACTTGTTTTGCTTTTATATCAGATTAAACCTTCATGTCTGCTCACCCGTTGCAGAAAGCAAACCCCCACCCTCTCTGGTGTTTCCAGGCAACTCTGCAGATCTTGGAGGAAGATCCTAAGTAGTGAATCCAAGAGGGAACGAAATTTAAGGAAACTGGATTAGAGTAAAAAGGCAGGAAGACGTGGAAAACTCAGTGACAGCTTGTGAGCTCAGAGTGAAAGTGTGTATGTGTGTGTGTGATGTGCCTGCTGTGGAACTGGTAAATCTCTGGCATGTTGCCAAACAGAACATCTTTCTGGCTGCGGAGAGCCGAGGGAAGAAGATTAGCCATTGAGGGGTCCTCCATTTCTGCCCTGTAGCCCTGAAACATAAGGAGGCAAGATGATGTGAAAATAATCAAAAACAACTTTAAATCTGTTTTTCACAATCTGTGTTTCCATCAGATCTTTCTACTGAAAGCAGACTCACCAGTAGGACAGAGAGCAGCTCGTCCACATAGATCCTCTCCGTAGCTATCAGTTCTTTTATAATGTGGCTAGAAAGAATAAAGTTAAGAACTAAGTCAACAAACATCTTTACAGAGAGTCATGTACAAATAAAACATGTTCAGTTCAAAAGGCTTTTCCATGTGCACGCAAAAACAGCTGCAGAGTGCTCACAGTCAATACAAGATTCATTCATTCAAACTTTTATTTATACAGATAAATCACAATGAGCCTCGAAGACTCTTTTTTTGTTACAGGTGAGACTTGTTTAGACAGACCAAAAAAAAGTTGTGAATGTAACAACATGCAGGATTTGATCCTGCAGATCAGATCAGAGTCTCAGGTCGTGTCAGGAGTCAGATTCAGAGGCTCCCAAAGTTTTTGGGTTCAGGGACCCCTTAAAGAGGAGAAAAAGTTGCAGGAACCCCCTCATAACCCTCATGTTTATTAAATAATTTTCTTCAATTTGTCTCTTTAATGCAATAGAAATATTTGTGTAACATAAATAGTTAAGACCTGTTCTTTTATAGTATTAATACCGTTTTTATACTTTTATACATGGAGTATTTTTCATTCAAGACACACTTAATTAACAAAAAAATGTAATTTCAACTTCCAAAAATTACAGTTTTGGGAAAATTAACTGCATCAAAAACCACTTTAAATTTTTACCTATTCACATAATGAGCATAAATGTATCGCCACTTCTTCAAATGGTTACAGAAATCTCTTTACATAAACCTGAACAGAATCATAACGGCAGAAGTCAGACCAAGAAACAGGACTTCATTTGTAAACCGATCGATGCTGGAATGCAAACAGCGGGCGGGAGGTTTGGGGGTACTCCCCCTGAAAATTTTAAATGAAATAGATGCGACTTCCTGCATTTTGGTGTATTTTAACGGACTGTTAAACATCTACGTGCTTT